TGATAACCAGGAAACAATAGAATAGAAAGACGACATTCTAGCATTACTTGTGTGTATTTGATGGTGTTACAAAGCAAATTGTTTTACTAGACACTAAATAAATCATTAATTTAATAAAATGGGTCTTTTTACATTGCACAGTTGGTGTGACTCATGCTCATTAGAAGATATAACTTTATTCTAAAAGTCGTCTTCTTACTTCAGACTTTTTGGGTTATTGCTGTATACCAATGAGTATTAATTGAAAACGCATTTGTAATGTTATGCTATAAACCTTTTCAGTGGTAAAATAAATCATTAGATTAGATCATATAGTGGAGTTATATAGTTAACAATTCGTTAAATACCAAGGTTTCCCAATAAACAGAGGAATTGAATTACGCCATTTAAATCGACTTTAACCTGCAGATTATTGAAAAAAAAACTTACAGTGAATCCCAGATATATGAATGCATAGACCTTCATAAGTTTTTTGATAATCCTAAAGAAACTTCTTTTTATTTAATTAATGCAAGTTAAATTAATAGCCCTGAAATATGAATGCAATTGATATATTATACTCATATATATACTCATTTTTCCGCGGCATTTAATCTTAAATATGTAATACGACATTATAAAAAACTCTTGCTATGTATTTACATATCTGGGATTCACCGTATATCTCTTGTTAAATTATTAAATTTTCAAAAATCCTTATTTGACAACGATTAAAGAATTTGTTTGGACTATTATTTATTACTAGCCACATAATCCAGACTGGACAAACACCAGGCTCGAATATATTTAGAAGATGACATTCTATAAGTCCATTGAAGCCAAGAGGATACATATGATTGTACAATTAAGATACATTAGTACACCTTGCAATACAAATTTGTGTCATTTTATAAAGTAATATTTATAAATACATAAAAAGGTTTTAACTCAGAAGTGTAGAATTGTAGATACAATATTATGTTAAACAATATTACACTTATTGCATTTCATTCAATTTAAAGAGTCATACATATATATATCGATGTCAGTTCTAATGACCATTCATTTAAAGTGTTGTATGTTCAATTCACAATAGTGCCTTTAAATCCTTTGATTCTTTCTCAATAAAAGAACTTGCAAGTTTTTGTATATCAAAGGAATCGAAGGAAATTCTTTCAGATAAAAACGACGATATCTTCCACATCAGCCGATAAAGGACGATTCGGGCATATAACAGTGTTTTAATTAAGGGTCACTTGAAATGACGTCAACAGTTCCTGTAAAAGATTTCAATATCTGATTTTTGAAAAGGGGTAAAACCCATGATTAATTAGTTGTTTATGGCCGTCCATGGAACTTTGGTTCATAATTTAAACAAAAAAATTAAGTTTTTGGCCCATTTCATAAACTTTCCGTTTCTCAAATAATTATATTGAACTTGGTTTAAATTAGGGTTTCCAGGAGTTCAGTTGCGCGGAATTAAATCAAATCCACTTGCTTTGGAAACCCTAGTTAAATGTTCATAAATAAAGTGCAAGACTGATTTCATGTTAAATATTACAAAATATAAAATTTTTCATCACGTTTAAATTTTCCTTCTGGAGTCAGAATATCGATCCTACTCATACATTCGTTTCATTTTAATTAATTATCAAAACTATTCAAAAAAACTATTCAAGATAATCAAAAAACGAAATTACATATGTGGTAAATGATAAAAAGGGAAATCAAGGTTACAAAAAAAAACTAAACAAAGTTTTAAAAAAAGACAACTAAAAATTAACACACAAATAAAACATCAACAAATAATATATTGTAGAAAAAAAAGTTGAATTAAAGGTATAAATAAAGAATTTAAGAAAAAAGAATAAAGGAAAAGAATACTGAATTAATAAAAAACTGAAATAAGGACAACAAATGTTCGAAAACCCAAATGAAAAATCCAATAACATGGATAAAAAATTTGATAAAAAACAAATGATAAAAAGCTAATGAAAATCTAAGGAATAAAAGGAAAACCTTATTAAGAATAATTAATCTGAATTCCTGATATTGTTCGAATCCTTCCAGCTGAGAGAGAGACTGAAAAAGTATAAAAATATTTGTTCTAAACCCTATAATATATCCAGAGCTGGAAACTTTTGTGTTGGACAATCATAATCCAGATCGATTGATCTCGATATTCACTGCGGACACTTTTAATTTGAAAATCAATGCTTAATCTCTTCCTCCAGGGTACGTTTACCATGCGGGATATCGAATAAAGATGAGTTCAATCTGCAGATTAACGAAAGATCAAGATCAAGTAATGATCTCGATATGCGCGATAAAAATGTTCCAATTCTGAGCATAAAAGAATAAAGATGAATCGATTAGATTTGTTTTTAAGTTTAATTCAACTTAAAAACGCACAACTTCCAAGCATTAAACGTAGATATGGATTTAAATGAGTTTTTACATATAAATTAAGCGTATTAAACTGAGAGTAAAATAGTTTTTCGTATAAAAAATATGTCCCTCTCTACAGGATGTCCTAAAAAAACATTGGAATTGAGTGACGACTGTAAAATCGTCTATGATTTCTGATAATTGATAAATGACTAGGATTATATCAAAATGGGGTCTACCTTTTTTTGTACCTTTCAAATTGACAGAGATATCAAATATTTCAGAAATGTTGTTGTTCAGTTTTGTAAATTGTAATCTGGACAATCGTTTCAAAGTTTCCGTCAATTTTGAAAGAGGGCAAAAATTGTATAGACCGCTTTTTGGAAACTCCCAAAAAAATCCACTATGATACTGCAAAATTATGTTTACGAAATAATGCCGCGCAAATCAAAGACGATATGGAATTCTTCACATCCCATGTTTATTGAGACACCCTGTAATCTACCCTACCTTGATTTCGAAAAGGTTTCCTTCTAAAAGAAGTGTATTTACTCTGCTATCTGCCAGTAAACTCTCTGAAAATAAACCATTAATACGGCCTCATTTTTATCAGGTTCAATCACTCTACTTTTGTATTTTTCCTGCCTTTCACATTGTACAGTTCAATCTTAATCAAACTACCTACACAGTCCTCGTCGTATATATCAATACGATGAAGACGACTTTCGCTTTAAAATCTAAAATCTTTTTAACAACATGGATACACTACACATAAACGTAAAAGCAAAAAACTTTGTTAGAAATCAAAACTAAAATAGAATGGTCGTTTTCATTGTATTGATATAATCGCCGACCACTATATGAAGAAATCTCCATAAAGATCTCAATTTAAAGGAAAGCTCTTACTTGCCGCCCGTTGCATATTCAATACGTCTTTAAATGATTCGACAAGGAAACTTTACAATAGTTAGTTGCATATTAGACTTTTCTTAATGCGGGTTAGTCAGGTATGTAACGCCGGTTAGCGTAGCAAACGGAAGAACACAATTCTATAACCCCCATCTGTGATTCAGATATCCAGTTAGATTTCTATTTTTCTCTTTTCTTTAGAATAGTTGTTTAGTTAATTGTAGATTAAACGTAGTAAATGTTATTCCAGGGTTTATCATGGTTCCAGGGTTTATCATGATTCCAGGTCTAGTTTATAATGGTTACAGGGTTAATTTATCATGGTTCCAGGGTTAATTTATCATGGCTCCAGGGTTAGTTTATCATGGTTCCAGATTAACAGATAAACCAGATTGCACAATTGTGTTCGAAGCAAAATGTTACAAATGTGTACATGGAAATATTTTTGGTAATATTAAATTTCAAAAACTTTAATTGTACTCTACATGTTGCGAGCTTTAACGACGGAATTGCGTGAAAGTAAAATTGCAATTTTAAACAATTTGCGCAGGAATCAATAATTGTCTCAGTGCATAAATGCAAGACTTTGCTGTAGGAAACTAAAATAATAAATACAATGCTTTTATTTATAAACAGGATAGGATTTTTCTTCATAAACAGGATAGGACTTTTATTTATAAACAGGATAGGCCTTCTTTTTAGAAACAGGATAGGACTTTTATTTATAAACAGGATAGGACTTTTATTTATAAACAGGATAGGACTTTTATTTATAAACAGGATAGGACTTATATTTATAAACTGGATAGGACTTTTATTTATATTTCATTTTATTTATTATCAAATATTTTTTTCCTCAAACATATACGGATAGAGAAGAGGAGAGTATTTTAATATTTAAAGGGACTGTATGAGTACATTTCAGTGACCCGTCATGAAAAGATGCCAATGTTTGATTTACAACGGTACCATTGATACCTTAACTGAATAAAAATGTGGAAGACAACGTTGTTATTTTTACTAGAAAAGAGTTTAGTTCTGATAATGTTTCCTCTGTTTCTAATAAGCAAGAAATTCGCAAATTACCTTTGCAGAGAAACTGCAAATTAAAATAAACACTTTTAGGAAACAAAACACGGATATCTTATTCCTACTTGACCAGATAAAGCTTTAAAGGGTACCGTTGTAAATCGGACATTGCCATCCTTACATTGAGGGTCATAATTAAAATTACACTTACAGTTAATCTAATTTTTGTATTTTTTTAAAAATATTAGATAATTCCCGTTTTCATCCTAGTTCACGTCTTTTCAAATCAAGCAATGGCCATTATTGTCCTATCTGTTAAATATTGCTGTTAACGTTATAAGTTATTGATATAAATGTACAATCATAGTATTTCAAACCTATAAAAGTATTAAACGGTCAAAAAGCTATAAAAGTATTAAACGGTCTAAAAGCTATAAAAGTATTAAACGGTCTAAAAGCTATAAAAGTATTAAACGGTCTAAAAACTAAAAAAGTATTAAACGGTCTAAAAGAGTTTTAACTCATTCTCTTCTCGATGGAAAATTGATTAGACTCTTATTCATGAAACGTTTGGAGAATTAACCATTTTTGAAGGAAAAGTAGTTAAGCTCCCAGTGAGTGGATATTAAGTTTAAATTAATCGCGCGCAATTGCTAAACCTGTAAACTCCGCGCATTTTCACGAGACGGAATTTTGATTGAACACCCTACTTAGATTACTTCTGTTCTACTTACCAGCAGACGAGGAGCCCTAGCGATGTTTTCACCCAGGTACCCCAGCTCGTTCTCGTTCAAGTTCAGGTCAACCACCTGGATGTAAACATGGTTAAAGATCACACCTGGAGGTCAACATGGTTAAAGGTCAACCACCTTGAGGTCAATATTGTTAAAGTTCAACCACCTGGAGGTCGATATGGTTTAAGGACAACCACCTGGAGGTCAACATGGTTTAAGTTCAACCACCTGTAGGTCAACATGGTTAAATGACAATCACCTGGAGGTCAACATGGTTAAAGTTCAACCACCTGGAGGTCAACATGGTTAAAGGACAATCACCTGGAGGTCAACATGGTTAAAGTTCAACCACCTGGAGGTCAACATGGAAAAGGTCAATCACCTGGAGGTCAACATGGTAAAAGTTCAATTACCTGGAGGTCAACATGGTAAAAGGTGAACCAAAGATTATAATACCAATGATAGCTCAAAATATTAAGTTTATTTTTTCATGTTTGACTATTTATTCAATATTTCTGTCTTTTGATTTAATTTAAATTTACACCTGTAGTTCTTCCAATCCGTCATCAGGCAACTCAACTATCTAGAATACAGTGGTAGTCAGAAAACTGTGGAGTTACAGTCGTCTTTGCTTTTCTTTCATTTACATAGTTGTAAAAGTTGTTAGAGCACATATTTGGAAATATTACAAATTCTAAGCAAAATTTTCAAAAAAAGATGACAACAATTCCACTTTTTTTCTTGTTAAAAGTTTCGAGATGAAATGAGATTTCATACAATACAAATACAAATACAAATACGAATACAAATACAAATACAAATACAAATATGAATACAAATACAAATACAATTACAAATACAAATACAAATACAAATACAAATACAAATACAAATACAAATACAAATACAAATACAAATACAAATACAAATACAAATACAAATACGAATACAAATACAAATACAAATACAAATACGAATACAAATACAAATACAAATACAAATACAAATACAAATACAAACACAAATACAAATACAAATACAAATACAAATACAAATACAAATAAAAATACAAAACAAATACAAATACAAATACAAATACAAAACAAAAACAAATACGAATACAAATACAAATACAAATACAAATACAAATACAAATACAAATACAAATACAAATACAAATACAAACATTATCAGAGTAGAAAGAAAACAGACTATAGTATTAAAAATTCATTTTCTAATTAAGGTTGGAAGAACATATATTCTCAACAATTAGGTATTTTCGTCTTAAACGCACTAGATACATAACAGAAAAAACTCCCAGGTTCAAGTTTTTCATCAATTGTTATCCAAAATTGTTTAAAGTATTATTTACAAAATTAAACCAAAAAAATGATAATAATAGAAATACTAAATCAAAAATAAGAATCTTGGTATTAACTAAGCCATAAAAAAGAAAACTAATCATAAGCAAAGCTATAATTTATAACTTTAAAATAAAAGATTTATTTTTTGTAAAAAGTCAACTTTTGTTTAATTCTGTAGATCCAACTCGTCTTAAATCTATTTACCCAGCTAGTTCAGGCTAACAATCAGAAACAATCAGAATAATATTTCAAGAGTTTCTGATACGATTTAAGTCAGACCATTTTATGGCAAGTGGATAACTATGTCTAGGCTGATTTTCATCTCCAGACGAACAAAAACAGAACAAACAGCGCTACAATTACAAACATTAAAGTATAGGTTCACAGGGTACAAATATCCTACCTGAGATGGAATTTAAAGAATTTGAGCCGCGGTTTAAATCTGCCAAAACCCGGTTTAAATTTAGCGCCGGCTTAAATCTTGAAAGATTTGATACAATTTTAAGTGGAACCAACCATATTTAAGCCGCGGCTTAAATTTAAACCGCAGCTCAAATTCTTTAAATTCGGCCACAGGTTCAAGGAAAGGACCAGTATATTAAGTTGTGGTAGATGAACTACTAATATCCTACCTGGTTCAAGGAAAGGACCAGTATATTAAGGTATATGGTAGATGAACTACTAATATCCTACCTGGTTCAAGGAAAGGTCCAGTATATTAAGGTATGATAGATGAACTACTAATATCCTACCTGGTTCAAGGAAAGGTCTAGTATATTAAGGTATGGTAGATGAACTACTATATATCCTACTTGGTTCAAGGATAGGTCTAGCACATTAAGAAATGGTAGATGAACTACTAATATCCTACCTGGTCCAAGGAAAGGTCTAGTACATTAAGGTATGGTAGATGAACTACTAATATCCTACCTGGTTCAAGGAAAGGTCTAGTATATTAAGGTATGGTAGATGAACTACTATATATCCTACCTGGTTCAAGGAAAGGTCTAGTACATTAAGGTATGGTAGATGAACTACTTCTATAGGAAAGCATGTTAACTTGTTGGAACTCAGTTTTAATTCCCTTAAATATGATTATTTTAAATTATTTATTATTACAAGAGTTCATTGAATTCAATTAGACTTTTTAGAAATAGAAATGAAAGATTCAGTTTTATTACAATTAATCGATTTAGTTTTAACTTTGAAATTGTAAGCTACAAGAAATCTGACAAACTACGAGATGACTGCAGAAAACAGTGGAATAGGAAGACGACATTATTGCAATACTTTAGTGTATTTGATGTTGTTACAAAGCAAGTAATTTGACTAGACACTTTTATTTTAAAAGTCGTCTTCCAATCTTACACTGTAGATCGTCGTTAGCTCTTTCGTATTGCAGGAACGTCATTTACAAGATTGGAATCAATCTATATTGATGCAACCTGATCTTATTCTTTTTTTTAAGTTCTTATTTACTATAAGTATCAAAAAAAATTAAAGATGTGTTTAAATCTGCTATACCTTAGGTTTGTTAAGTCCCTGATACCGTATGGTAAACTAGTAAGGAAATTATATGAAACTGATAACAGCTCCAGTTTGCCAAGTTCTCCTTAATAATCCTTGTATTATATAAATAATCATGATTAATAATTTATTGTTGAGGGAAATTTGTTCAAAATTCCAGAAGAAAAGACAAAGTTTATCTTACTTCAAGATATTATAACTATTCCCTTTACTTTTCACAAAATTTTGAAGACATTCCCAAGACCAATTTTGCCTGTTATAGCAAGGGATGTTTTTAGGCAAAGTTGAACCCCCGTTGTTAAGTAAAATTTGAATTTCCCGAAAATGTAGAATTTTTATCGTCTTTTGATGAAAATATCCAAAGTTTTTCACGTAAACCGGGCAGAGTATAAAAGGGTTGAAACGTAGGACCCATACAAATTCACGGAGTTGCATTATTCAACTCAGATCCAACATAATTTAATTAAATTTAAAATTAATCATTTAGATATTACAACCTATAAATTTCGAATTCAATTCGATGAATTCGTTTATTGTTAATATTTTTTTTTCTTATAATATATTTTACTTTAAACAATGATTTTTTGGTTGCTAGGTGCACTATCCCCAGCAAAATCCGTGAAATATCAAAAGCAGAGACACCTAGCAGACAAAAAATCGTCGTTTAAAATACATCGTATATAAAAAATAGTCAATAAGCATTTACTGAACCGGAAATAAGAGAATATTGTTTCCGTCTTAAAGTCTATACATTTGGCCTTTCACAATAAACATGGGAATTCAGTGACGAATACGATATCGCCTTTGCTATGAATTAGCATTGTAATACCTAATTTCAAAAGCCATAGTATTATTATTTTTGCTAGAGTTTATTTTATGAAAAGGGTAAAAGACTGAAAAGATGTGTCTATAATGCCGTTGCAAGATGAAAAGTAATGACGGACAAGTTTACTCTGTTTGTATACTGTTTGTATACAACCGTATGCAGTCAAAACATAAACAAACAAATTGTAATCATAGCAGACGAAAATCTTACGGATTAAGGCTTTCTCAGTGGGTACCACTATACTAAATCAAAGAATTATTTAAAAAGACGTTATCAAATTCGTCACTGAATTCCCATGTTTATTGGGACACCTTGTGTAATGATAGGGATTAAATAAAATGTCTTGAAAAAAATATTTAAAATTACCGAGTACAGAATTTCCGTTAACTGAGTTACAAAATTCATGAAATGTTAATAAATGAATTAATTTTTTCCACGAACTCTGATTTTCAAATCCCTATATCTTTGCATTCCAAGGTTCTAAACTTTAGATATTTCAAATTAAGAATTCTTTTAAATTAAATAGTTTGCAAAGTCAAAAGTTTACACTGTCAGAGTTTATGGCAAAGGCTTAATTGCTTTCCATATAAATTGCACTGTTATACTTTACAGTGTAATACTGTACCTATCGCCTCCGGTATAGTCTGTAAACGGTTTTGGTTTAAAAACAGAGATTTCAAATTTCTGAAACAGAGAACAGAATCAGAACATAGTATAGGCGTAATTTCAACTAACTTTCCATTTGTAGAGTGAAGCCCTTTCCGCCACATTACCATACCCTTTAAACTGATTTATCCTTTGTAATATACAGAAATACTTTTTATTGTTTAACACTTTAAAAGCTGTTTTAAGATATATTGATATTTACTTTCTCGAAGTCGCAAAAAAAAAATATTTATTTCAATGAAATTGTGTTTTTGCCACAAACTCGAATTTTCTATGATCTATAGCTTCGCAACATAATGGTGTAAACCTTTGATATTTCAAACTTATACCATTCGATCTAACAGATTTCATAATTTGAAATATCTATGGTCTACGACATTGGGTTGCAAAGATATAGGGATTATAAAACCAGAGTTTGTGGCAAAAACTCAACTCCTCTGTGAAGACTATACTTTGAACGTACAGAGCGTCCCATATCATATTAGATTATCAACAATTTTTAATTCCAAAATACGCACATAATACGCGAAATATCTAGCATTTTCCGCCAACAAAATTTTCTATTAGCCTTATTAAATTTTGTAAAATGATTCATTCTTCTTAAATTTTCTGATTTGTCCCCCAAATCGTAATTTAGATCCATTGACACGGTCTAATTTGATGTTGGACACCCTGTAAAATATTCGATATTTGAGAGGAACACATGTATGTAACGTCATCTGTATTGAGCTCACACTGTGGTGGGTTTTACGCATAGACAATGATAGACACTCAGCCAACTCATCTCACGAAACCTCGATTCCAAAAGGAAGTGGGGTTCATACAGTACACACACTGCAGAATCTGCAGGGGTTGTTATAAAATTCGATTTTGGCACATATTTAGATGATATATTTAGTAGGCATTTTTCCGGCGTACACATCAATACTAAAGATTGTAAAACGATATCTTGGAATACATCAAAAATTACGTGAAGTTTGTACTTTTATTTATTACATTAATTTCAAATGTTGGAATTTGCTTTCTTTAAGTTTAATGCCAAACCTTGACATTTAGGATTTCCTGTCTGTTCGAACTATCTACAGCTTTTTTTAAATTAGCCAGTATACTGTTGAAATTCTCACCCTGCGACACTTAAAGATTTTTTGTCACAAAAAATTCCAGTTAAGATAAGTTGCATTTTATGGCGTATATCGGTGTTTCATAGGTAACTTAACTGTGACATCAATGATCCACAATTGTCTTGCCCCAAACTTTTTAAAAACATTCCTTCACGAGTATTTAAAACTTTTTAAAAACTGTATAATATCTTGGAAAATTATTGTCATGTAACCGCGGCCTGAACCAATAAACTGTGGCAAAGAAGGCCGACATTTAATCAATCTTATTAGTGTTTGATGTTCTTAAAAAGCAAACAGTTTTACCACAATAAGCTTGAAAATCAAAAGTCGATTGTAGATTATTATGTATTGTGGTCAGCATATAAATCAATACAAAATCTTTTACTGAAATGATGATAAAAATAGAGGCTGAAATACTGGGTGTCCCACAAAACATGATAATAGTTTAAAATGTCTTCTTCCATAATTTGTTAAGTAGTTTGATACCAAAGAGAATAAAAAAAGTTATTTCATGAAAGTCATGTTACAGTAAAAATGATTTCAAAGTAAAATACATTTGTGTAAAATTTGTTTAAACTTAAAAACTCAAAAAAGTCTTTACATCTAATACAGTATATGGAAGAAGACATTCAAAAACTGTAATGTTTCGAGGGACACCCTGTATAATTCAAATGGTACTGAAATGCTACATAGAGTGCAGTCGGTGTATAATGCAGGGTATCTAACGAAACATGACAGTTGGTGAATAGTTTTAAAGGTCTTTTTATACTGTATTAGATATTAAAGACTTTTTGCATGCAGTTTATTTTGCTAAAAAAATCTTTTACTCAAATATATTTTACTTTAAAATAAATTTTACTCTATGATGATTGTAGGTGATGTTTTTATTATTCTCTTTGGTATACATAGATTAATTTAAATAACAGATAGGACACTAAAAGTCGTCTTTCAAAGATTTAAGTATTTTTCGTTCACAATAACCCTGAGGCAGAAGCCTAAAGGAGTTACGCGTAGTCAGCGTAGAACAGGTTCTCTCTCTGTATAATACAGCATGTTCAACGCCCACTACGCGTAACTCCCTTGGGCTTCAGCATCAGGGTTATTGTAAAACGAAAAACACTTAAATCTTGAAGACGTCTAATGTCCTATTTGCTATTTTAATTAATCTATGGTATCAAACAACAATTAGCAAATCATGGAAAAAGACTTTAAAACTATTCTCCAACTGTAATGTTTTGTGTATTCACCAATTAATTATCAGGTACTGAAATTGTATTATATCAGCAATTAAGTAACCTGAAGAAAGCAATTTTATCTGGAAGACTGTGAAGACGGTTGGCGGATAGATCTAGAATTCGGAGAATATTCATCAAAACCCAGGCCTTAACAAAAATTCAAAAAATGGAGAGTTCGCCATTTTTTACGAGTCCTATGAAATAAATTCAATAAAAGGGAGAGTTCGTTATTTTTGAAGGAAGTTAAAGATTGTAAGCATAACTATGTGTTTCGGTAAAATTCAAAATATCATTGTTATAAATAATTAATTCTGAATTAATGTCACATAAGCGAGTGACATTTTAATTTTATTCATTCATTTAAGTCTTCAGTCAAGACAACCTTAAATTATCTTATATGAAATTTCCTCTTGAACTTTGATACAATGGTATATATTCAAATAAGAAGTGGGAGGGGGAGGGGGGGGTTTTATTTTTGGTTCGTTTAGGCTTTTTATATTCAGCTAGGCCTTTAGGGCGCTTCGCTGACCATCTTCTATTTAAATTGTGAACATGTTCTCTTTATAATGTACATTCTAAAACAAAAACAACAAAAAATTTCGCGGGTTTTATGAAATAAATTTCGAGGATTTTTAAAATTTGTCGATCATCCATAACCTTCCCTGGGGTCACGTGAGGTCCCACAAAAATTTGGGCCTGGTCTGTTCAGTCGTTTTTACGTTTATTGCATAAAAACTAATGAACAAACAAACAAACACCCAGAAAAGCAAAGTATATATAAAGATAGATGTTCTGCAGCTAGAGAAGACCCATGACCATACAAATTGGCATCTTTTAAACAATGGAACGGGAGATCATTTACTTCGAGGATGGACTGATTGAAAAATCTGAAACGAAACGGAAAAGTTTTAAAAACGATGATGATCCCTTGCTAGATCAATCTAATTAACTAAACACCTAATTAAAGAGATAAATGAACTTTACAACTGACAAGTCTGGAATTGAGTTGAATGTTTATTTAATTCTAAGTTAACGTAAACTCTAGGTTTTACCTGAGATGGGATTTCTGAGAGTCCTTTGTTAGATAGAACCAACACTCCAGTACTTTTAGCGTTTGTAACCTATTCATGTTTTTAGATACAGGGATACAGGGTTACCCACAAAGAATGAGACTGTAAAGACGACCCAAAACTCCTAAAATTTGACGATACTAAGGTTAAATTTGATCTTCTGACTTAAATAGTATATTTTACTGATTTATTAAAGGATTTAGTGCAGAGAACCTGCAGTGAACCGGAAACGCAAGAGAAAGATTAAACAAATTACGTACAGTCGTCTCTGAAGTCTCATTCTCTGTTGGAAACCCACAAAGACGACCGAAGATTGTCCAAAAAAATGAAAGTCTATTTTCTACAATTTTTAAATTTCCTGTATTTTCAATATTTTTATAATATTTTTCACATTTTTAGATATTTTTTAAGAGTTTCTACAATCTTTAATTTTTTTAACATTTTTGTTATTTCTAATATTTCCGACATTTTTAATTTTTTCCACATTTCTGATATTTCAAACTTTTTTCATTTTTTCAACATTTTCAATATTTTCAACATTTTCAATATTTTCAATATTTTCAATTTTTTCAACATTTATAATATTTTTCATATTTTTCAATTTATTAATATTTTTATACTTAACCTGATTATCCACAAACACAGACATCCTTGTTCCCATCCTAAAATATCGAAATAATATTTTAATTTGATTATTATTAAAGGGAGTGTTTGCGAAAAATTAACACTCCCTTTAAAATGATTGTTTACCTGTTTAAAAGTACACAAAACACCTTAACTTTTGGTTAGGTCTATTTAACCTAATCTTGTATTTCATTTCATAAATGTTTTTCAAATATTGAAAGGAATTGAGTCTTTGCCACAAACTCTAACTTTCTAATCCCTGTATATTTGAAACCCAATGTCGTAGATCTTAGGTATTTCAAACTATGAAGACTTTGTTAGATCAAATGAACTAAGTTTGAAATATCAAAGGGAACCATCGGAGTCTGTGGCAAAGACTGAATTCCTTTAAGTATTTGGAAAACATTTATGAAATGTACAAAAACTTTTATGATATCTATTATAACAAAAAGTGTTCATAATTTTTGTCCTCAGGAAAACATTTCAGTAGAAAGTGACATTATTTGCTTTCATGGTAAATCTAAACATTTGAGTATTGTGTTTATTGTTTTTCTAGAATGCTAACAATCTATTAAACATTCTTTTCATTTATGTACACTGTAGAATGTACAATCCTGCAGTACCTGTGACTAGTAAACATTATGATTGGTCTAGACTGTACAGTACTGTACAACCCTGCTGTACCTGTGACTGTTACACAAAAAGATGGGTCTAGACTGTACAGTCCTGCAGTGCCTGTGACTGGTATACACTATGACTGGTCTAAACTGCACAGCACTGTACTACCCTGCTGTACTGTGACTGGAACACAATATGATGTGTTAAAACTGGATTACTGTACAATCCTGCAGTACCTATGACTGGTACACGCTATGATGGGCCAAGACTGTACAGTACTGTACAACCTGCAGTACTTGTGACTGGTACACATTATGACGGGTCTAGACTGTACAGTACTGTACAACCCTGCTGTATCTGTGACTAGTACACACTATGTTGGGTCTAGACTGTACATGTACTGTACAACCCTGCAGTACCTATGACTACTAGACAATATGATGGCTCTAGACTGTACAACGTACATGTACTGTACAAACCTGCAGTACCTGTGACTGGTACACCCTATGATGGGTTTAAACTGGATTACTGTACAGTACTGGAGCTGGATAAATGGGGTTCAATGAATACATCTCAGAAACCTCGAGATTTATCTAAAATAGATTAATTTAAATTAGAGTGGCCTATCGCAAGATAATGCACAAACATATATATATACTAAAAGAAAACATTGTATTCCAAATTTGCTTTCAACCAAGCTTGTGTCAGTGCAGCTGGTTTTAACTTCAGTGTTAGACTTAGAAACAGGATAACCCGCAAAGGATAAGACTTCAGAGAATACTAAACGGAATTTATTTCGTCTTTTTCTTGAGTTTTTGTATCCTGCAGCTGGACATTTGTTTCTTTCATTGTGAGATCATCTAACTTACAGAGATACCCTCTAAGAATGAGACTTGAATGACGACCTAAAATTCTTTAAAGGGACTGTTAAGGAAAAATGTAAGGGGGTTAGAATGAAACCTGAGAATCTCAGACGTTGAACGATACATATAAGACATCTATCTGATGTTCCTGTCTCGAGAAATTGACATAAAACTGTGTCAAATTCCTTTATATGCAATTTTGTATAAAAGTTTCATTATCAAGTAGATCATTTTCAACAAATACGCAACTAATCTGAAAACGACGATATCCCACAGGAGCCTGAGAATCTCAGGTTCGCTCCTATTATAATTTTTTTCTTTCCGTCCGTATTGCGTCACCAGAACTTCAGCCAATGGCAGTGCAGTATTCTGGTCACGTGATTTCCGTCTGTATCACGTGACAGTCCCTTTAAATATAGCGCCCTGAAGCCTGGAGGTTGATTATAGATTACCGCCATGGATAAAGTGCTCTAATGACATAATAAACGGTTTGACAAAAAAGAAAACAAGGAAATAATGAATACCTAACAATGAATACCTAACAATGAATACCTAACAATGAATACCTAAAAATGAATACCTAACAATGAATACCTAACAATGAATACCTAACAATGAATACCTAACAATGAATACCTAACAATGAATGCCTAATAATAAATACCTAACAATAAAAATAAAATGTTTATCATATATTATTGACTTTTACTAATATATGAATAGATGTTGTCAAACAAGTACAACATGAAGATATTCAAATTCAAATTACAAAGATACAAAGATGCAAGGTACTAATGCAAGGAAAGTTATTTCAAAGGTGTACGCATGTTTTTTACTGCAGTTTACTGTCTTGGGTCGGAAAAGTAAACACAAGGCGGATATCACAGCCTGTCATGGAATACATTTTCACAAAAATAATTGATGAAATATTCTGGTCATAGGAAACTATTATGTGAATTATCAAAATTATCAAAATTCAATGCTTTTAACCTCCTCGGATACTAGAACGAACACTGATGCATCTATTCTTGTTTACAAATTCCGCCCAGAGAGAACTGGTTTTAATAGGTACCCAACACAAACAACCAAAATTAACTTTCCTTGCATTAGTACCTTGCAAAGATGGCAGTAAATTTCTGTTTTGGATACACAATTTCTCATTTAGAAGCTCTATCAGAGATGACATTTGATCATTCACAAAAAAGTTGTTCTTCATTGTTTTTCCTTGCTTCGAAGAAATGAAGGAAAGAAAACTAAAAGAGAAAATTGAACGCAAAGCAGATAATTTATTATGTTAGTAAATACTCACCTTCTCCAGATTACAGCTGTCTGACATTTTGAAAACTAATCTGTAAGAAAGTCGTTTAGTAAATCTACCAGTTATTCTTGAAAATTTGAAAACCAATTTACGCGGGAGACGAATTATGTTGAAAACGTTTTAAATCTGAATAAAAAATTGGAATCAACTTTTTGACTCTTTACAAAAGAGTAGGGTTTCCAGTCGTAATTTCGTTTCTGGTTAATACGACTGGAAACCCTACGAATTTAACAGAAGAGTTGTAGGATGGGGCTTTCTATAAGAGCCCAAAAATCAAAGCTTTATGTTCAGTTTCGCCCCCTCCCCCCCCCCCTCCTCCTCAAAAACATGTGATTGCGCTGTTGATTGCTCTAGGTTGACAATTCTAAATTTTTTTTATTTTTAACATTTTTGGGCTTTGGCTTGTCGGATGGTTTGGTGGTTTGTTTATATCCAATAAACGTCAATTAGGCAGACCGATTGGAAATTGAGCTTATGCCACAGACTCTGATCTTCTTATCCCAATATTTTTTCAGCCCATTTCGTAGACCTTTAATATTTCAAACCATGAATTCTGTTAGTTCAAATAATCTAAGTTTGAAATATCAAAGGTTTTCACCATGAGGTTGCAAAGGTATTAGAAAATGCGTGCTTATTGCGAAGACTCAATTCATTTTTTAGCAACTTTTATTTAGTATAGTACCGAGGGAAGGTTTATGGCTGGTCAAAATTGAAAATTTGTTTCTCGAAAATTTGAGTGTTACGATTATTGTTAAAGTCACGAATTAAAACAAAACTAACGATCGATCATTTTAAGATTTTCGAATAAAAATGTTGACTTGAAAAGGATATTTCAAAGCTAAAAATGTAACTAGAAACGAGTATTATAGAGTATACATGAATAATTATTCAATCTAATTGATCATATTTTAACATATAATAATTTTATTTTGTATTATATTCTCATTATTGATTACTCATACTCGCATACGCTGGTTCAAAACAATTTAGTTATTGAATAATATTCACACAAAACATTTTTATTATTCATGAGCATAGATAAATATATAAACATAGTGTGAGGGAGGGGGTACAGAGGCGCCATGATCCCCGCAAAAATGACCTCCGAACCTCAGGATTTGCAGAATTACCTCCAGGCCCCGCAAAACTGGTCTCCCCGCCTCAGTGATGTCACCAAGCCTCCCGCCATTCTGTCTCCACGCCCCGCATTTTGGCTCCAATAAAAAAATATTTGGCTTTTATTTCCACCAAGAACCTTTTTTAAAAAAATTCTCAACATGAAATAGTTCAGAATGATACATTCACATTTTGTATTAAAAAGTGAATTTTAATTGAGATTAAAGTCTTGTATTTTGTTTTTCTAAATTTCACAAATTCCTTAAATTGTGAAGAACTATTTCAGTTTTGTATAAAGATAGAAAATGTTCTATTATTTTAGAAGGGTCTCATATACGAATCAAATAATATCAGCGGCAATTTACAAAACAAGGTAGTTTTTGTGAAATCCTTGTATTTGTGATTTTATCGTATGCTTTAGAAAATATTGAAGAACTATTTTTTTAAAAATTAAAACAAAGAATTAAAATAATCTAAATATCTATTACATGCTTTACTAACAGGTTAGGGCACCTTTGTGTCATATCTTGTTGTTTTATTAAGTTAAATTTAATTCTAAATAGTTTTTCTTTTAGCGAGAGAATTCATTTATTTGACTGAAAAAATTGATATACAGAGGTGGGGGGGGGGGTGCAAAAACTCATATATTATAGGACAGATCCTCATTAATTTGCATTTTTATGATAAAATGTAATGCTAAGTTAATAAAATCTTCAAATCATGATGACTTCAAAAATATTGGATAAGTTATTTATAAAGGTCGTCTTTTACTCATTCCATCTTTATGTAAACTTTATGTAAACTCCAGAACAATTGAATGAATTAACATGTCAAAATTGTTGATTAAACGGTTCTTTAAACTATGACGGAGTCTACTATGAAGAGATGTATTTTGATATTTGTTTGGTTAAGCCGATAAATTTAAACAAAAAATAAAAACAACAAGTGGAGACCAAAATGCGGGGCATGGAGACAGAATGGCGGGAGGCTTGGTGACGTCACTGAGGCTGGGAGACCAGTTTTGCGGGGCCTGGAGATAATTCTGCAAATCCTGACGCTCGGAGGTCATTTTTGCGGGGATCATGGCGCCTCTGCACCCCCTCCCTCACAGTGTAGATAGCATCACCCAGAATTGTACAGTCCATGGTGAACTCACACTTCTAGAGGTCAAAGTGTACTTCAATGACAAGCGGTGTGGTTGGAGTTTTAATAAATTTCATCATAATGATGTACCACTGACGATTTCATTTTTGTTTAGCATTTTTATCTTTCTGAATTCTCAAGGCTAAAGGCTATTGTAAACATTTAATGTAAAAATAATGAATTGAATATAAATTAAAGGTCATATTATTATTTTAAGTTCATGAAGTACTTTAAATTTTTCCATATTTAAGTTTCATAGTGACAAGTTAATTGGAGAAAGACTAAACAAAACTAAATTTAAATTTCTCCCTACAGAACTCAGGTACACCGCATGTACAGGGGCGTACGAGAGCAAAGTGACAGATATCTACCTTTTTCTGGATTTTTGTACTATCATCATAGTTCATCATATATAATTTATATATTATTTAATTTAATTCAGCTCTATTAAACTAGTCGGACATATATTGGATTAATTATAAGTTAATTATTAGTTTAAATAAGTTTTCTACAAAAATGACAATTAAGAATATATTTTTTAAACATTAATTTTTCCGCAAGAACATGATGTGTTTGTAATGATCAAAAATTGGACAATATTTTAAGGTTTGATTTTTTAAATCGCCTTTAAAAAAATCTACATATATAAACCCTTTACCCATTACCGAAAAATTTATTTTGCCATTGCTGTACAAATGTTTGCGGATATTTTGCCTTAAAAACCGATTAGAATGAAATATTTCCTATCGAGTTTATGCATAGAGAATAGAATATATATTAGAGGGGAATTTAGTTTATCTCTCAGGATGAATTTTTTTAGTCCCTCTCAGCCTGAAAGGGAGTTCTAAGTGTACAAATCATGTAAATGTTCACAAATTATATGCAGTAGATTTATACATTAACCCTATCTCCGCTGGGGTACTTGAAAACCAGGATACGCTGGGGGGGGGGTCAATTTGACCCCCCCCCCTCTAAATCCCATGTTTTATGTCCAAATATGACAAATGATACATCATTAGAAAGCTCTTGTGCTCTACTTTTAGAATCTGCAAAAATATTTGCAAATTTGAAAAAGGTTATATAGCATAAATATGTGAAGTACACCTGCAGTATGGAAACAGTACAACAAAATGGCCGTTTTACACTTTTTTCGAGTAAATTCCCCTCTAATAAATATTCTATTCTCTATAAGTTTATGCCACTTATCGATATTTTTCTTGTACATGTGATACACATGTGGTACGATCATTACAGTGTTATTATCGTTTTCATTTTTTATATAATTCATGAATAATTAATAATTATGGATCAAGTTTAAAAGTGAAGTTTAAAATATTCTACGACTATTATGTAGATATACGTATGTTAAGATTGTAATGACCGGTTTGTCTTATAAACTATAGATAAAAAAGTAAAGCAAAGTAAAAAAAGTTTATTTATGAAATTTATATAACAAAAGCATAAAAAATTAAGCGTTTTTCTGGAGAAAATATTAAAAAACCTCTAAAAGTAAAGGTTGTGGGAATATTTCCCCCAATTCTAAAAAATATAAAAATAGAAATAAAAGAAAAAGGAAAGTTGCATATTTATTGTTTTTTAGAAATAAAAATTATAGATTTATTTGTAATGTTTAAAAAAAAGTAAAAAAAAACTTTATGGAGTGTGAAAGAGATAGGTTCTATGAAAAATGGTCATTTTTAAGCATCTTTTTAATTCGCACCGTTTTTTGACATCCTTAATGTTTGATTATATTTTTTATTCTTTTTATTCTTTTCTTTGTAAAGTCCTCTTTGCTTTAATCGATTCTTTTGCAAACAAAATTATTCGAAACAAGATTGTATTTATAATTGCAAGCTTTTATATTTTAGAAACGATGATAATTTGTCTAAATTAAAGGGAGTGTTCGCGAAAAATGAAAGGAGGTATAGGCTTAATGCGATAAAAAAGCGCTTTTGATCGCTAATAATCTTACTTCTATCTGTTGCCTATAAGGAGAAAATTGTTAAAGACGTCTCATACCGAATAACTTAGCGCCCATACAAATTCAGAAAATTGCAACATATGACTTAGACCGTAAAAAAATCAATTTAATTCCAAACAAATCATTCAGATATTACAACCTATAGTCATCGATTATCTTTCTTTATATTTTATAATATTTTTTAATTGATTTTTTTCGAATTTGATTATTTCTCTTGTCTCTTGCGCAACTATCTAAGAATGCCGCGCACCACTCACATTTTTCGAAATCCGTTAAACACGTTTTCTTAAAAAAATGTTACTTTTTGAGCATGTTACTCTGATAGTTGCATGATCTGAGCCGGTTCAACTGTATACATATATGCATTCAGTCGTACCGTCCAGTCTTGACGTATTATCGTATTTGCGATTGAATTCATTATTTAATTATCGTATTTATTGGGACAATCTGTAGGGGCCGGATCTTACCATTTTCAGGTGAGCTACAATTTTTTATTTGTGTTATTTTTTAATCTATTCATGTCTATCTATCTTTAAATCACTCTCTATCGAGATTCGAAAAATCAATAATTGAAATTTAATTTTTTATTTTATTATAGCTATTCAACCAAAACTAGAATCTACACGGTCTTCCAATGAACATGCAACAACTGAAAAGTCGTCTTTGACTTATTACAGTTAATGAATGGCAAACTATATTTTGAAATAAAAAGATGTTAGTTTTTTATGTTAGTTGCATGTTAATTAGTTAATTATAACCTTCTAATTTAAGATTTTGATATAAGGTTTTAAGTTCCGACTGATGACTGATT